GTGTTTTTTTGTCTTGCAGTCCTGTCACACTGATCAACTTCTGGCCTGTAGACCATGCGTGAGTACCTGGCTCGTACACAAACACACACGCACACACACACGTGTTCTCACCTCCAGTCATTTCAGTCATTGTGTTGTCGTCTTGTTCTCTTGATTTGTTATAAATGAACTCCACGTCAGGATGGAGACAGTGTCCCTGCAGCTGTCAGCATCCCGCTGCTGATCAGAGCCGACAGACTCTCATTGATCTGTGTGATCATACTCCAGTGAAAAATATATGCCAGGCTCATCTTGGTTGAAGAAAAAATAGCTTTAGTATAAAACAAAAATGCTCATTTAAGTGTTTGTGATGAATCAGTTCAGAAAATGCTGCAACCTTCACAGTGAGAGGCCGTTGGGTTCCAGTTTCCTGCCTCTGTTGGGAGTTTGAATGTTCTTCCTGGGTCGGTTGATAGGAGAGAGTGCTGTGGATAGAGTGAGCTGGAGCCAGATGAGTCGCTATGGCGACCTCTAAAGGAAGCAGCTGAAAGAACAAGATGGTTTGGATAAAATGGGCTGATTACTGCAGAGTATTTCAGCCTTTATCAAGTCACATGTGAAATATCAGGATACGACAATACTCTTAAAGATACCCAGACAGCCTCCAGCTGTTGCTGTATGGAGAGGAATATGTTATATTAATATAACCTGTGAATATGAAGCACAAAGTCCCAGCACTTGATTACATGACGACTGATTTCTCACCCATTTTGTTCCACCTCTCCTCCTAAAGCTGAGCACACACACCAGCAGCCATAAGTTTGTGTGACATCATGTTTACGTGACATCATGCCAATAACCATTTTGATGGATGCTACTCAATTCGTCTGCTGCTTTTTATACACTGCTCAATAAAAGCGAGCGTACACAAAACACATCAGCTCTGACGTCAGATGAAAAACAAGCCAGATGTGTGTAATGATGAGGACGGAGTAATGTCAGGAATAAAGGATGGAAATGAAAATGATTACAGAGGGCTGAAAATCAAAGTGAGGTGCAGCAGGCGAAGCCGTTTTGTCCAAATTTAATTGCAGCAACTCAAAATGGTGCTGAGTAATATTGACTACGCGCCTGCCTGACAGCAGGCTGGGCTCCTGATCAGACATCAAGTGATGGGGCTCTGCTGGCTGTAGCTCATATAAACTCGTTGCTCGTATAAACGGGTGAATGAGGCTCAGTTACGGTCCATTAGCTCTGCACCAGGACGTTACCAACCTCCACGACATCTGAGGTGCAACGTGGACCTAAACATAATGTCCCAGAGGAGTTTTATTGGAGTTGGTGAGCTTGGTGTCGTTGTTCCTTCATCCTCCATGAACTGCTTGTTCTGTCAGCACACGAAGTCCAAGCAGCTGTAAGACACGTAGTTACAGAAGGTTTCTCACAAATCTGCTCCTGTCGCTCCTTCACTGCTGCGCTGTGAATCCATGCAGCGTGTGTGTGTGTGTGTGTGTGTGTGTGTGTTTGTGTGAGAGAGAGTTGTGATTCATGTGTTGGATTCATGAGCTCTCTCTTTGTCTCTGCTTCTTCCTCACAGGCCGGGATCTTCCCCTCAGCTCTCACATGACGACACGCACACGCGGATCGAGCACTATGCCAACCGGTAACATGACTGCAAACAGCAGACACACAGTGCTGCAAACAGCAGTAGATTTATGTTTGTAATGTTTTGCATATTTGTTACAGTTACATATTCGACTCATCAGCCACATTTGAATACTAGAGAAAGATAACCTGAGTAAATATAAAATGCAATCTTTGAATTACAATTTCAAATAAAGTAAAAAGCTTCTCAGACCCTGCTGGCTCCATGTGAGATGCTAATTCCCCCCTAAACCTAATAACTGGTTGTGCTTCTCTTGGCAGTGAGAACTGTAATTAAGCATTTGCAGTAACTGGTAAGGAGGCTTCCACTGGCCCACTCTTCTTTTCAGAGTTATTCTAATTCAGCTGCATCGTCACAGGGCCAACACGCACAGACACACAAGACAGATCCACACCCACCTTTGCACCTATGGCGAGTTAACCTCGCCCTATTAAGTGCATGTCTTTGGACTGTGGAAGGAATTTGGAGTACCTGGAGAGATGTAGGAGGTGCATCCAAACACCACACAGGAAGTCTCCTGCCAAATTGTCAGATAGTGGATTTGAACCCAGGACCTGCTGCGAGGCAACAGCACAGCTTCCATCAAAAACATTGTCTCCAAACAGTTTTTGCCTTTTGCCTCGTCAGGAGAAAAAAATAGTTGGATGTGCAACCAGCTTTGACAGGGAGGCATTTCCATAGAACAAAAATCCATGCAATGCATGATTCTAACCATACGCACACAGTACATTAGCAGAGAACTGTGACCACAGGAAAAGTGCAAAAACAGAGGTAAGCAGGGGAGATAGTGGCTCACAGCTGAGTGTAAACACACAACATTTCAGTAGCTTCACAAACTGGTGAACGAACTCTTTTAAGTTTCAAATAAACGTGAAGTGAAAGTCCAACCAGTGTCCTCGTCAGCCAGGCTGGTTACCACAATTGCTGCAGAAGCACTGAACTACTGTGAACCGAATAAACTGAGTTTGCACTGCGTGATCTTCTCTGTAATACGGACAATTAAGTTTTTCATTATACCAAACTGTATTAGGGCTGCCACAAACGATTATTCTGATAGTCGACTAGTCACCGATTATTTTTGCGATTAGTCGACTAATCAGATCATCATCCATTGGACGTAA